ACCCACGCACGCACCCACACACGCACCCACGCACACACACACGCACGCACGCACGCACGCACGCACGCACGCACGCACGCACGCACGCACGCACGCACGCACGCACGCACGCACCCACCCACCCACCCCACACCCCACACCCCGACGCACCCACACACCCACACGCCCACAGACGCACACGCGCACGTGCGCACGCCCACGCGCATGCGCACGCGCACGCGCACACGCACGCGCACACACACGCCCCCGCGCGCGCGTATGTGTGAGCGCACACAGAGACATGGTTGTGTAGATATACAGCATAATCGTCCCTCTCCTCATCTTCACCACCACCGCCACAACTATGAACATCATTGCCGTCACCATCACCCATCATGATGATGAAGATGATGAGGATGATGATTCACCATCACCATCATCAACACCATAATCGTGCATCATCAGTCTCATCAGCCTCATCATCATCATCATCATCATCATCTTGTGCGGCTCGGTAGGTCGTGGCGTCGTTGGGCCCCGCCTCCTGGAGTGAGGTGAGCGGCCAACTTGCCATTCGGAGTTCAATCTGTTTGCGGGGCTCACTGGCTAGGGTCCATTTAGGGTGTTTTAGGGTCAGGCTTGGAGTGGGACAAAACTGTCTGTGCCCCCCTGGTGTGTGGAGTCTCCTGTGGAGTGGTCTCCATTTTCGAATCCACTTGAAAAAGGCCCTGCAGTGATCGAGCAATCGTTTGCATTATCATCAGTACTGCTACTGACGTTTCAGAAGTATGATTGGTGGTTGATGGCTTGTTCTTCGGTATAGGTGTTGCCCTCACTGGCTGGTCGCTTTAATTCACCTTGTTCTTGGTAAGTTATATGGTTAACGTGTTAGCCTTGCTGGTTGGCAACTTAGACAACTCACCCAGGCAGCATGCCCATCCGTTGCAACCGGCTTTCCCTTCCAAGTATGTTGCAGGGAATTTGCAGCTGTGGCAGTCCTGTGCCAGGAGATGATCCCAAAGATGATCCAGGCCGGCCGTGACATGTGCATTTAGCCAAGCAGCGGCCGAGGCAGGGCCCTGATACGCAGGCCGGCACCGACATCTTCCGGCTGAACTGCTCCCACCGACGTGGCGGCGACTTCGAGCGTGTCTATCCGCTGATCCGCAAAGCAGCAGCAGATTTGGGAAAGAAGGCGCTTGCTGTCCCCCCGCTATCATGAACAGCGTCAATTCGATCATACCACGGGGAGACAGTCAGTGCAGCCGACTTGCGGGTACACTGAGTGTCAACAGTCTACGGGATGAAGTCTCATGCTGCGTGAGGTGGAATGCCTGGGAGATCTCCAGGGCCCAAAGTTCCGCGTTGGGGAGCTGGCCGATGAGCCCATCCCGTTGCTCTGCTTGCGATGCCCCTGCGGACGTGAGCCGTGAGGAGTCTTGGCAAAACCGAGGCTGAAGGATGGCGAGGTCCTGGAGTTTGGAATCTGCAAGGCCTTGGGGCCGTTAGCGGCGGCAGCAGCACGTTTCGGTTGAATGCTGCGAGCTTTTTTTCCGGTGTTGGAGCCATGAGAGGACGACAACGACATGATCCGCCCTGGACGGATCACCATGAAGCCAACGACCGAGCAAAATGCTTTGGTTCGGGCCTGCACCGCAGCTGCAGTTCCAAGATTTCTGGGCCAGGAGAGCTTCAAGTAAACTGAGAGTCCTGAACTGATTGCTGCTGTGGAGCTGCAGTTGCTGCGAGCTCAGGCAAGCCAGGCACCCCTTTGCTTCTCGAAGATGGCATCATGGAGGTGAAGGTGATTGAAAAGTGCTCCGACACAGAGCTCAAGGTGCAGGTGGTCCCTCGAGCTGCAAGCAGGACCTGCAGTGCAGACGATTGCGTGTGGGACCTGAGGGGCGCATGCTGTCAGGTTCGTGGCGGGAAGCTGAAGGCCCGCAAGGGTGTCAACGTGCCAGAGGTGCAGATCGACTGCGCTGCCCTGACGGAGAAAGACATCGAGGAAAAGGGAGAGTCCTGTCATTGCATATGGAAAGCTGTGACAGTAGCTTCACAAACACACCTGTGCAATCAATCCTGCATATGCCTACATGCATCTGCGTGCCCTGCTTTTGGCGCATGACATAGCAGCACATGGGCCCGACAGGATGCGGAGTTCCTCTTGAAGCTCGACCCCCCGATCGAGTACATCTGCGTGTCCTTCGTGCAGAAGGATCAGGACTTGCAGGAGCTCATCGACATCATGGACCGCTTGCAGATCCCGCAGGACTCTGTGCCCATGGAAGGATGTAAGTAGAAAGGATGCAATTTGAAGCACTAGAAACCGTAGTCGTAGCAGCCGAAGTAGTAGTGATAGTAGTAGCAGTAGCAGCCGTCGTCGTCGTAGTAGCCGTCATCGTCGTAGCAGCAGTAGGGTTCAAGCGGTGGGCACCGTGAGGAAAGGCGGCCGAAGATTTGCCCAAAGATTGAGAAGCCACAGGCACGTCCACTCAGTGCAGCAGGCCTTTTCATGGGGTTTGTGGTTTTATATCGCTTTCACAAGTTGTCAGCTCCCAGCAACTTCTCATGATGAGCGGGCTTTCATAGAATCTAGAGGGGTGTATTGCTGGAGGATAGTTGGAGTTGAGCCTTGCGAGAGGCTCTCACCAACATCGATGGCATCATCGCCAAGTCCCAGGCCCTGATGGTTGCCCGTGGCGATCTGGGCGTGGAGCTGGAGCTCGAAAGGGTGCCCTTCGCGCAGAAGCTCTTGATCAGGACCTGTTCAGCTGGTACATCAAGATGCGACCCGGGTCAAAAGCCTGGCTTTACAAAGGGCGCTTGGCTGTAGCTGCCAGCAACGTGCCAGGAGAGCCAAGGACGCCGGCCTCTTCGTACCTCGTGCAGCAAGAGCTGAAGACGCGAGTTCCGAGAGCTTCGAGAAGTTGGACTTGGTGGTGTCACAAACTGCGGGTTGTAAGTCCAGCTTGTGCCGCTTCACTGCATTCTCGCTTCCCAGGTCATCAATGCTACTCAGATGGTGGAGAGCATGATCGAGCACCTCAGGTTGCACCAGGAACATGAGGAACCGAGCAAAACCCCCCGAACCAAGGCTGTTCTACCGAGCAGGGGACCTGCAGAAAGTTGAAGATGTTGAAATACGGGGTGAACGTAAGCTCGTCTTGCTGTTGAGACCTCGGCTGTGGCATACCCCGAGGCAGCCTGTGCCCACGCGGGCCGAGGCCAGGGTTCTGCCGCAGGGTCACTGTTGTCGATTTGTGGGTGTTTGTGTTTGTGTCTCTGTGTGTGAGAGAAAGTGCGCCCTTTCAGGGGTGTGTGTGTGTGTGACTCGCTGGCTGTTTTTTGTTGGTTGCCATGTGATGGGGCACGCACAGTTTTGGAGCAGGCAGATGGCACGTTGTGGTGCTTTGTCAGGTAGTGCCAGGTAGTGTTAACTCCATACTTAAAAATTTTCCAGTCTCCCCCCTCCCCCCATAGGATGCCGGCGCCCCTCCCCGGGGCCATAGCAGCTGCTGCTGGCGGGGACCCCTAAAGGATCCTAAAGGTTCCTGCTGTGGTCTGAATGTCAAACAGCTTCTTCACTACATGCATGATTTTTACATTCTCCTGGCCGCCGGGGAGGTTTGATTTTGCACACACGGTGGGGGATTGTAAGTGCTTCACGTGCCCATCTGACATTAGGCCACACTAGGCACGCATGTCAGCTGAGTCGTTTAGCACGCTGTTTGGCCTTAGCCTCGATTCTAGCTTCCCAAGCTGGGGAAGCAAGGCCGCGCTGTGCTGTAGTCTGTGCGTGCCCCTGTTGACCAGGTCAGTGATGTGCAGAACGCCATCTGGGATGGAGCAGATGCGGTGATGCTCAGCGGCGAGGCGGCCAGTGGCAAGTACCCCTGTCGCTTGGCAGTGCACAGGGCCGTCCAAGGTACAGGCTGCCAGGCTGAAGGTCAGGCAATGAGACAGTCCGAGATCGCAAAAGCCCTCAGCTAAATGCAAGCTACTCTCAGGTGAGGCCGTCCGTGCAGAAGCAGATGCCGCCCTTGAAGCTGAGAGCGTGAAGCACCTCTTGGTCCCACAGGTCTATGACGACTATGCTGCCTGCTTGCATGCATCACCCACCAGCAAGGGGCACATCGAAAAGCATAACAGATGCAGTGTGCCAGTAGTTGCATTCTGCGGAGCATACTTCAGGATGAGATGTGCAGCCAGTGTAGTGATTCGGCCAGGTTGTGGACGAAGCGAACAAGCCGCGCGAGTTGGATGACAGCCGAAGGAGGACCAAGATCGTGGCAAGCCTGGGCCCTGCATCCTGGAGCGACGACATGCTGGCGAAGATGATCCAGGCGTTTGATGTTCAGGTAAATGCATCGCGCACATCGCGGCGTTCAGTTCGTACAACCTCGCAGGCTGGCACAGACATCTTCAGACTCAACTGCTCGCACCGACGCGGTGCGGGTCTTAGCCTCGCCCGTGGAGATTCCCCGTACCACAGAGATGATGCTCCGGAAGTTGGTGGGTTCCTACTGTAACATTTCCTGACACAAGCAGGAGAGGACCGCAGCTTCTGGGCGAGGACTTGTAGGAGAGACATGAGCTTGTGCCAGCAAGGCGGTGATTTCGAGCGAGTCTACCCTGCCATCCGCCGTCACTCAAAGGACTTTCCGATCATGTCCCTTGCTTTTTCGGACAGGAGCCTAGGCACCTGCGGAAGAACTGCTCCATCACAGATTTTCGAACGTCCAACATGTCTGGCTGATCTTGTAAGATGCGTTGAAATCTCGCGCTCCAAAGATTCAGCAGGAGCTGGGCGTCAACGTTGAGTGCCTGGGAGACCTTCAGGGACCCAAGTTCCGGGTGGGTGAGCAGCTTGACTCAAGAAGGGTTCGAGGCTTCAAGAGTTTTCATTACTGCCTGAGCTCACCCCAACTCTCGAGAAGTGTTCCAGATATCCGGCTGTTCTGCTTCCATGCAGCTGGATGGCGGTCGGACATTTTGGATAGAGACTCTAAGTTGACTGTTAAGGCAAGAAGCTTGAACTGTATTTCCGGACGAGAGGATGTGTTCCAGGTTGGCCGGCGAGCCTGTCGAGCTGCAGAACGGAGACATCCTGGAGTTTGGCTGCGCGGATGGCAAGAAGAGAGACTGCAGAGGGACCCCCGAGCCTCCCCAACGACCTCACGAAGAGCGCAGCCTGAGCCCAGGCATCTGCAAGGACGACAACGACCTCATCAAGCCGGGCCGCATCACCATGAAACCAACAACTGAGCAGCACCTTGCCGTGAGCTTCGGGGGGTGGTCATGGGACTAACCAGTCGAGATGCACAAAGCAGTGTGCTCCCCCCAAAAGCCGCAATACTGCGACGGCTTCGCCTGCTTGGCGTCATTCCGTCTTGACCTTGACGACCCCACACCTGCAACTGGGCATACGAGGCAACGGCAAACTCTGCACCCCTTCAAAATTCCTGAAGCCGCGAACATTCCGAGACCAATTCATTGCTGTCAATCAAGTTTCGTCTCAGAGCAGCGGGAACACGACGGGATTTGGGTGCTTGTCAGGTTGGGTTGGGTTTATGCTTGTTTTCTGGATCACATCCAAGCCAGGAATGCCCTGGTCGAAGCGTGCAAGGTCGGCAGCCGGTCTGCAGCTGTAAGTGGGCAATCCTGAGGCGGTTTCTGTCTATCTGATGGGCCTACTTGTATTTTTTATCTGTATGTGGATATGTACATAAAGTGTATGCAGGTTGAAGTCTCACCGAAGCTGCTCCAAGGCACAGTTCTGCTCATTGAAGATGGGCTCATGGAGGTGAAGGTGACAGAGAGACTCGGCGAAATTACGCCCTATGCTCCGCATGCGACTCAATGATCCCACGACTAACAAAAAAAACAGTAGGGTTACATAAGGGTTTACTGCACAACGGACCTGACCCATCAGCTGCTGCATCCTTCCTCGTGCCATCGACAGAGCCGTCACTGTCGGGGATGGGACTCATGAGATGAGTACAGGTACAGACCCATGCTGCTGTCAAAAAGAAGCAGAGGTCTTGTGGCCTGTGAGTCCAGTTGCAAGAGCTCGGTGAAGCTCCACATCCAAGACCACCGAAGTTCGTGCTGGAATGCCCAGAAAACATCGGCCATCCCGGCCCCTTTCACCTTGCAAGGAAGATCTCCTCCACGGAGCTCAAGGTGGAAGTCACTCGCGGCGGGAAGCTGAAGGTGCTTAGCTTAGATGGGGGGTCAGAGGCTTGGAGGCGCTTGACATCTGTCTCCATAGGGCCATAGGGGGCGGACGTGCCAGAATCAAACCAGACCAGGGGGCTTATTGTAGGCACCAACATGCATTTTGGCAGGGTTTTCGTTCTAGGCTCTTCCAGGGTTTCCCTTAGAATTTGTTTCAGGATCATGGGCTCAGGTCGGAAGGCGATTGGGTGGTCTCGGGAGGCATAAGGCACGTTTTCCGTTAAAAGAGTTAGGAGTTTGGGCCGTATGCGGCCGAGAAAGCCGAGAGTGGCTCTGAAAGAGATGAAGTCTGTGTAAAATGGGGCCGGATATGAAACCCATTGGGCCTGACCTGCGGGTCAGGCCGCCTGGAATTCACTTCGTTGGCTCTTCCAACGAACCCTACGTAAAAAATGCATCAAGGAGGGTCGGGCCCCGGTGGTGCCCCCGGGTTTTATTTCAGCCCTCTTGGTCCAAACTTGTTCGAACTCCTGTGGGACCACAGGCCACCAACACTCATTCTCAGGAGGGGCTAGGTCCCAGGATTTAATATGCATTAATTCCAGGGGCCTATCCCCAAGGTGCATTAACCTAACTTACTGGTGATTTGTTAACTCTGACCACAATTGGATGCTTGGAGGACTTCAGTTCTGAGTGTCAGGGTGTGGGATGTGGGTGCGCAAATCACGGAGAGTTTGACCTGGCTCACTAGCGACTGCTAGACAGGCACGCAAGGGCGTCAATGTACCGGACTTGGAGATCGACTGCGCCGCCTTGACGGCCAAGGACGTCTCCGAAGTTCCAGGGCCAGCCATTGCAGCGAGAGACAAGCACGGCCCGTGCGTGTCAACTGCCAAAGAGAAGCAGTCCTTGCTCGGTAGCATCTGCTTCGAACCGACCCTGGATCTTGATGTAGAGTACATAGGCATAGGAGCATCTTAAGCTTCCGTAGATGCCATTCTCTGGATGTGATGGTACTACGGACGGTGGGCTTCATGCAGCTCCATGCAGGACATCGAGGATGCGGAGTACCTGCTGCAGCTGGATCCTCCTATTGAGCCCCTCAATAGCATGTTGAATGGCCAGGGCTCAGATCTCAGATCGTAAGTCAGTACTGACTGAAGGAAGTCTTGATGGGAGGCCTGCGCAAGAGATACCCACGTGACGCGGAAAACCGAAGGTACATCTGCGTGTCCTTCGTGCAGAAGGGCCAAGACCTCCAGGAGCTCATTGACATTATGGATGCATGGTTTGCATTAAATTTTGCTTGAATTCGGGGATCGGTCTTACTGCTCTTGCTCTTCTCAGTGAGACCACGTAGATCTTGGTTTGGCTACCCGAGAAGGCCGTGTTCATCTTAGCATGAGTGGTGCCTGACTGAGGACCGGCTGAAGATCCCGGCAGAGCGTCGGCCGAAGATCTGCCCAAAGATTGAGAAGCCGCAGGCCGCGCTGCGCAGCTAGCGGAGCGCGAACGGACGGAGTGTCAGACCTATATCTCTGCTCTGGATATGAAATGGCAAGGGGACTGTCTCAGATTTCGGTTCGCGGTTCGGGGTCTCGGTTCTACATTCTACACAAAGCAGTGCACGCGCAAGCTGTGCTTCAGGCCCTGACCAACATTGAGGGCATCATCGCCAAGTCCCAGGCCCTCATGGTGGCCCGAGGCGATCTGGGCGTGGAGCTGGGCCTCAACCGAGTGCCCTTTGCGCAGAAGCTGCTCATTGCGCGGGCCAAGCAGGCCGGACTCTTCGTGGCTCTGCAGCAACAGGCCTCCCGCAGTCACTCATCACTTTAAATGTTGTCAGTTTGTTGGGTGAACTAGATGCGCCGCATCAGCTCAGGTGATCAACGCCACGCAGGTCGTGGAGAGCATGATCAAGAATCCCGTGCCCACCCGCGCGGAGGTCAGCGATGTGTGCAATGCTGTGTGGGACGGAGCCGATGCATCTTGGCATTTTATGAGCCTCGCCCCCGCCCTCGCAGATCTACCCAGCCTTCTCGACTTTGAGCTCTGGCCCCTCTGGCCCCCGTAGTGATTTTCGGTGCCAGAGCCTACCAGTACTGGTGAGCATGCACTTGTTGTCGCTAAATGCTAAAATCAGCCACGCATGTGATGTTTTCTCGGCCCAGTCCACGTGGGTCTCGGCCCTGCATTCGGAAATGAGGCAGTGATGCTGTCGGGAGAAGCGGCCAGCGGCGACTTCCCATGTGAAGCTGCCACTTGTTTGGAATACCTCCACTTGTCAATGTTGCCTCTGTGTAGTGTTCTGAATTCCCCGAAAAGTTTTTTCGAATTTGAGGGTGTTCTGCTGGCACTCTCAATGGGCCTGCGTCTGGTTAGAGTGCCCAGCCCATCAAGCCCGTGTCAAGGTCATGGCCGAAGCTTCTGCAGCTCGTGAAGCTGAGTCCGCAGCATGGCTTTGACTTGGATCAGCTATGAAACCGTTGAGTGTGCCTTTTGCATCTGCGTGCTGTGTCATGGCTCTTTTCGGCCTTCTCCTCGTTGTTCGGCTTGGTCCCGTGTCTCTGAGGTTAAGCACCGGCTGAGGCGTGCATGCCCGCCTGTGGAATCGGGCACCCGACCGAGCTTCGCGTTCTTTGCTTTTTTCCCCTCACGACAACGCCTGCAGCAAGCACTCTGAGGCGCCATGGCTCCTCCGATGCTGCATGTTAACATGGGCAACAAGAAGCAGGACACCTTTCTCTTGTTGCATCCTTGATGTGGTGAAGCAGCCGCGTGACAGGAGACAGATGACTCCCTGCGAAAGACCAAAGTCGTTGCAAGCCTTGGCCCTGCTTCCTGGAGCGAGGACCACCAGAAGCCCTTTTCCTGGTTGCAGAGGGGTCTCGAGAACGTTTGAGCACTGCCGGGATGCAGGCAGAGCTGTTCCGGAATGCAGCATGTCGCCAGGAGATGATCCCCAAGATGATCGAGGCCGGCACTGACATCTTCCGCTTGAACTGCTCCCACCGCCGTGGCGGCGACTTCGAGCGGGTCTACCCGCTGATCCGCAAGACTGCGCAGGAGCTCGGCAAGAAGGCGCACGGTGTCTGTTTGCGACTGACTCGAATTTTCTCACGTTGCGCAGGCGAGTGACCCATTCACAGTAGGGTGGGCCGGTGTGGGGCTGGGATGTGATATATTTAATTGCTGTGCAGCACAGGTCGAGTGCCTCGGCGATCTCCAGGGTCCGAAGTTCCGTGTTGGAGAGCTGGCTGGAGATCCAATCGAGCTCGTGAACGGCGAGGTCTTGGAGTTCGGTATCAGCAAGGATGACAACGACAACATCCGGCCCGGGCGCATTACCATGAAGCCTACCACGGAGCAGAATGCCCTGATCGCCGCCGCCAAGGTTGGAATAGATCTGCTGTTGGAAGACGGCATCATGAAGGTGAATGTCGTGGAGAAGCTCAGCGACACGGAGCTGAAAGTGAAGGTCATCCGTGGTGGAAAGCTCAAGGCCCGCAAGGGTGTCAACGTTCCAGACGTTGAGATTGACTGCGCAGCGCTGACCACCAAAGACGTCGAGGATGCCGAGTTCCTGTTGCAGCTTGACCCTCCCATCGAGTACATCTGCGTGTCTTTCGTACAGAAGGGACAGGACCTCCAGGAGCTCATCGACATCATGGACCGGCTCAAGATTCCACAGGCCCCTCTAAGAAGTCCGTTGCGTCTCCCTGTGCTTCCTCCATGCTCTCCGACCCGAGGAGAGGCGACCCAAGATCTGCCCGAAGATCGAGAAGCCCCAGGCTACCATGTCATATTCGGAGTTCTATAGGGAGTGTAGCAGAATGCTGACCTGATTCTGTGGTCTTTTCAAGGCTCTCACCAACATCGATGGCATCATCGCCAAGTCCCAGGCCCTGATGGTTGCCCGAGGTGATCTGGGCGTGGAGCTGGAGCTCGAGAGGGTGCCCTTCGCGCAGAAATTGCTCATCCGCAAAGCCAAGGCTTCGCAAGTGCCAGCTGTTAGGTACGTGGAGCGGTGCCGGAGTCTTGATTTGCACTCTGGGCCAATTGCTGCGAGGATGCCGGGCTTTTTGTCATCAACGCTACGCAGATGGTCGAGAGCATGTGACTTGTCGGAGCGCAGTGTGTAGCGGCCTCGCACAGGGTTTTTGCCTGCCGTACGGGGCAAGTGCCGGGCGACCAGATCATCGAGAAAGAACGGAGGGAATAGGAGGAACCTGTCACCGGGTTACCAAGCTTGTCGGCCTCAGGCAGTCATGGTGTTGTTTAGTGGTAAGAAGCCACATTGACATGATCAGAATACATTATTGAACGTTGCAGACTCCGAGGATCGAGAGCCCAGTCCCGACCCGGGCGGAAGTGAGCGATCTGCAGAATGCCATCTGGGACGGTGCCGATGCGGTGATGCTGAGCGGAGAGGCGCTCGGAAGCAGGAGAAAGAAACGGAGACCTAAGCCTTACCTCCTTTCTATCTCTTGGCCTTTGGCAGGCTGCCAGCGGCAAGTTTCCTTGCGAATCGGCCTCCAAGCAGCACAGCCAGAGCTCCATCTCCGATCCTATAGTCTCCGAAATGCACGACTTCACGACTTCCATTTCGGGCATCTAGCTTAAAGGCTTTTGGTCGAGCTGAACAACGTGTAAGGCTTTCAACTCAGGAGGGACACATGCTATGTCAATCATATGGGGACTCTGTAGGCAAGAGACTGCTGAGTTACTTCACGCTTCAACAGGTAACACGCGGGACAGTCGTAGAGACTGACGAGCCGAACATTTGGCCTCACACCGCCTCACCACGGCCTAATCCTGTGAGATTTCCAAAGGTCGCAGCAGAGGCAGCTGCAGCCCTCGAAGCTGAGAGTGTGCCTGAGCCTGCACCAATATCAGGTAGCCGAGTGGTGTGGACGGGTTGTGAGTGCTGCTGCTTGTAGCTGCTGTTGCGCTTCGAAAGATGACGTCATGGACTTACATTGGGACTTGGTGACTTGCATGTTTCAGCTTCAAGTTGCATTGAGGTTAAAGATCTGTTGATGCCACGACTGGGCATCGACTACTTCTGCGACGAGGTTCACGTCCGGACTGCATGCAGTTGAACGGCTAAGCTAGCCATTGCTTAAGGATGGAGCTCCTTGAGGGCTCACGTCATGTGCCTCCTTCGAAGAGCGACAAAAAAACGTTTCCCCTGAGGGCAACAAGCCGAGGGAGATGGACGACTCCAAGCGCCGGACGAAGGAAGGGACGAAAGCGGTAGGACGGATTCTGTCTCGGTTTTTGCAGGCAACGTAGCCCGTAGAACAGAGCATCACCTGCAATGCAAGTCCTCCAGGTGAAGGATTCGGTAAGGGTCAGTCAGTCTAGTCATGACCGGAAGAGCTGGCAAGCCTGACGAGTTCTGCAAAATGTTCCTGAAGGTCGTGGCCAGCCTGGGCCCAGCATCTTGGAGCGAGGACGGGTGACGGGTCAGTTGGATGATTTGCAGCTGAGGCGAGGCCGTGGGCGCCTTAGGGTTTGGAAAATGGAGCCGGATGACAGGAGATGATCCCCAAGATGATCGAGGCCGGCACTGACATCTTCCGCTTGAACTGCTCCCACCGCCGTGGCGGCGACTTCGAGCGGGTCTACCCGCTGATCCGCAAGACTGCAAAGGAGCTCGGCAAGAAGGTGCCGCAGCCAGGTTTTACATATTTGTAGCAGAGAGAGACCAACTGAATGTCTACACCCCACATCCTGTGGCCAGACGAAGGGAGTTTTTTTTGGTGTTGTTCTTAAACTGTGCCTTATGGCATTGGGAGCTCCCACCTGTCATGTAGAGCTCTCCTAAAGCGCCCTTTTTTGCCAGGTGGAGTGCTTGGGCGACCTCCAGGGCCCGAAATTCCGCGTCGGGGAGCTTGCCGCGGATCCCATCCCCCTGGTGAACGGCGAGATCTTGGAGCTGCTCGGAGCGAGATTGAATCATAACTGGAACTTGATCAGATCCATCCTAGGTGGGGTTGCTGAAAGGATCAGCCAAACAGCTCTGGACAGTCCTGCAGGAGTGGGGTGAACGGGATTGTCGGTTCTGCTTGTTCGCAACGCTGAGGTTCGGAATCAGTGTCGATGACAACGACAACATCAAGCCGGGACGCATCACCATGAAGCTGCTCAGCTGAACCGCTTCATTTAGCGAGTTCGTCGGGAAAAATTGCTTTCAGGCCAAGCTTGTAGCAGTCACGAATCTTTGATCCATGCCGGCAGCCCTCATTTGGGGTTACAGACCGCGCCAGCCGACTTGTGATTCATCAGAAAAGCAGCCACTTAGCTGGGTCGAACTCCTTTTGTCTGCTCAACCGAGGCCGACGACAGAGCAAAACGCCCTTGTCAAGGGCTGCCAGGCTGGAGAGTCTGCAACGCTGAGCTAAGTCTCTTCTTCGTGTTCTCGTCACTACATCAGTGAGCATGAGTACATCTCAGTAAGTCTTAAGCATGCACACCAGGACCCATGACATTTTTTGGAGTCTTGCTTGACTTTGCCAAGACACAATAAGAACAGGTCAAGTGTCTACCTGCGCAGGTTGGCACGACCTTGCTGATTGAGGACGGCATCATGGAGGTGGGCGGGGCTGGAGATGAATCAACAGTTTGTTCGTGCCAGGGTCGCCTGAAGCCGTTCGTGGCACTTCCAGTTCCATGTCTTTCTCGTCGTTGTGAGGTGGTGGTCACTGAGAAGATTAGCGACACGGAGCTGAAGGCGCATGCATCACCCCGAATCATGCAAGCGAAGAAGTGCAGAGTTACAGCATGCTCATGATGTCTTCGTGCAATGTGATCGTCGCAGGTAAAAGTGGTCCGGGGAGGCAAGCTCAAAGCCAGGAAGGGCGTGAACGTGCCGGACATCGACTTTGGGCTTTGATTTTCACTGTTTTGCATGGACTCGTTCCACAGCAGACGCGTATCCCCCCCACATATCCGGACCAAGGAGATCGATTGCGCAGCCCTCACTGTCAAAGACATCGAGGCACAACGCGCGCACAATCTTGATAGCATTCTTCACACAACAAGTGAGTACGCATCGCTTGACATGGCTGTGAAAGTGGAACTAGTCACTCGACTGCACCCCCGGCCCGCAGCCCCTGAGCCCCGGGCCCCGGAGGATGCGGAGTTCTTGCTGCAGTTGGATCCTCCCATCGAGCCCGGAGCTTGGACGCGCTCGGGCATTCCGATATATATATATATATAGATATATAGATCTGTGTGTGTGTGTGTGCGCGTGTGTCTACACATACACGACGCACACACAAACATGTATATCTACATATATCCGTATCTGTATCTATCTCTGACTCTATCTGAATCTATTTCTATATCTATATCTGTATCTCTGAGACTATCTATAGCTGTATCTATATCTATACCTCTGTTTATATCTGTCTATTAATATCTATACCTGTATGTCTGTATGTATGCATGCATGTATGTATAATTACATACATACATACATACATACATACATACATGCACGCATACATACATACATACAAACATACATACATACGTACATACATACCTACATACATACATACAGACAGACAGGCAGGCAGACAGACAGACAGACAGACGTAGAGACACACAGACAGACAGACCGACCGACCGACCGAGAGACAGACAGAGAGACAGACACCCAGACCAGACCAGACCAGACCAGACCAGACCAGACATACCTACATACATACATACATACCTACATACATACATACACACATACACACACACACATGCATGCTGGTTGAAGGTTGCTCTCTTTGCCGCTTTAGCCTTGAGGTACATCTGCGTCTCCTTCGCTCAGAAGGCCCAGGACTTGCAGGCGCGGCTTTGTCAGAAGCTCAAGGGACGGCGGCAGAGGCATAAGCCCAGCGGCATCCGTACGTGTAAACGACGACGCCGAAGGAGCTCATCGACATCATGAACAGGCTGCAAATCCCACCTGAGCTCCTTGCATTCATGGGGGGTGCCACCCATGCTCGCTTTTGGTTGGTGCTGTTGGAAGTAGTGTAACCTTTCCGTTGCATACGACTTGTCTGCGCATTGTGTGAGTTTTCAAGGGCTCCGTTGTCAAGGGAACCGGACAGTGAAGTGGGCCTCGCGAGCTGAGAAATCGAAGCATAATCCATTGCTGGCTCTTGCGCGGTCCTGAATGTTATAGCTCGTCTTGGAATTGATTCCGCGTCGCTCTTTGCTGCTGTTATTGTTGATGTTTGCTTACTTGTCGGTGGTTGCGCGCTTCTTGCGCTTGCCGGCAAGTTCGTTGCAGTAAGTTGCAGTGCCCTTTGATAGCAAGTGTGGGTGTGCATGTCGTGGTCGAGCATCTGTGCTTCAGTGAGTCGGTGGTGTTTGTGTGGGTGCCGCTGTGGCTTGAGCGTCGACACTGAGCGACGCCTGAACTTAGTTTGGCATTGAAATTGTTGAAGGCATGGAGGCGAATCTATTGATGGCAGACAGCTGGAGCCCAGAAAAAGCGAATCCTTTGCCTTCCCGACAGGCAGCCCAGATTCCGTGTGATGGTTCTTTAAACGCCGACATATGGATATGACTATGTTTACCTGGGTCAGTGCAGCTAGCTAGTGGATCACGTATGTCATCATTGCCATTACCACTCCACTGTCATAGCTTCTCTTTTTGTTTTGAGAGTTTTGGCTTCTCACGACGTGACCGTGAAGCCCAGGAAGAGGCCGAAGATTTGCCCGAAGATTGAGAAGCCACAGGCGCTGACCAACATCGATGCTTGGAACAAGATGAGCAGAGAGCGTGCCTTGCGCAAACGTTACAGTAACCATTACGTGAGCAAAGGAATCCACGGACATGTAGGTATGTGTGTGCAATCGGTGTGGGGCAAGGAAAGGAATGATTATATGAACAGTCTCAACTCAGTGCGGATAAGGAAGGAATCATCGAGAAGTCAGAGGCCTTGATGGTTGCTCGCGGGGACCTTGGTGCCGGGCTCAGGTCCGGGGCCTTCTTTCCCTCCCCGATTTCCTCTTTGAATTTAGGTTTAGGGTTTAGGGTTTTTAGGGTTTTAGGGAGGAGTTCAGGAGGCTAGGCTAGGCCTAAGCTGCTGATCTTGTGGCAGCTGCAGGTGTTGAGCTTGGACTCAACCGCGTGCCCTTCGCACAGAAGCTTCTCATTCGAAAGGCTCGCTCGCATTTGCCTTCGCGGTTGAAAGTCAATAGGTATTTTGGTCGGAACACATGTCACAGGAAGAGTCTTACAGTTTCAGAGCCAACAACAGATGTACATGATGAAACGACAATGGTTCAAGCACGTCGAGCTATGGGTAGCTGCCTTGCCATCTGCCATGTAACATGTTCACGAAACTGCTCCGACCTTTCCGTGATAAGTCATCGCTGCAATAGGCATCCGGTTTACCATCCTCAGCGCCATGGGAGACCAGGGCTACTCAAGCTTTCAGAAGAGCCCCATACGGGGCCGCCCCAATGTGAGCAAACTGGTGCCGAAAAAGCTGACGCGCTCGACCACGGATGACTCCCAGACCGCCATCAACCGCGTGGTCCACGAAGCTTTAGCGCGCGGAGGCACAGTGTCTTCACCTGAGGTTGCTGAGGAGGTGCAGCAGAGGGTGGCTTTGGTGTTGCAGGCGAAGGAGGACGAGCTCACAGGCAAAATCACCCACCAACAGCGCTTGCAGCTGATCAAGCTGGTGGCTACCCTGTCAGCAGAGGAGTACTTTGAGGAAGCGAGGCGACTGCAGAGCTCAGCCCGACAGGATGCAGAGCAGAAGGTCAACAAATCGAGCTCGATGCTGCCAGTCCTCTGGCGGCGCATGCTTTGCAGCTGCTTTTTGGGCCAGGAGGAGGTTCTGGGCCTGGGAGCCTGCTGCCGCTTTCTCCGACAAGACCACGCCCTTGGTCTCCAGAGTTTCGTGCTTCCCAGCCACCTCGAAGGGTTGGAAGACACAGTGACTACGGCACGCTTGGCAATGAAGCCGCTGCCTCTGCCAGCGCTTAAGCGACTCGTGTCGAAGTTCCGCTATGCACAGAAGCTTGTTTGCAGCACGAGATGCTGTCGTCTTCAGGATTCTGATCTGGAGCTCCTGCCATTGGCCCAGCTCAGGGTCCTGGACCTCAGCTTCTGCTACAACTTGAGTGAAGAAAAGCTGCTGGAGGGCCTGCGCTCTACTCTCTGCCTCTCAGACCTGAGTTTGCGTGGCTGTTCGCAGCTCATATCACCTGGCACAGAAGAAGCCCTTGCGGACTTGAAGGGTCTGACCTCGCTGGATGTACGTGGCTGCAGCAACCTGAGCAGCGAAAGTGTGATGCGCTTGACGGCAGAGAACCTCAAGCAGTTGACAACATTGAGGTTTGGCTACACCTGTACACCTCAACTCTGGCCGGAGCACCAGGCAATGCCCTGCGAGACCTTCTCCTCGGAGACCTTCGCCGGGCTTGGGTCGAGCCGCTCCCTGCAGTGCTTGGAGCTGGACATCGGTCTCATGCATCGTTGGGCGGAGCGAGGAGGAGCGCCCGTGGTGGACGATGCCATTGTGTCTTTGCTGTGCCTGAAGCATCTTCAGGCCCTCATGCTGTGGAACTGCAAGGACCTCCAGCCGATGACTTTTCGGAGAATCCTGGACCGGCTTGGCGAAGGCATCGACACTGTTAGCATCGACGACTGCTACCACGATTACGATGCCTATTTCCATGTCGTCCCAAGCGTCTGGGGCATCCGCACTGCACAGGAGTTGGACAAGGGCGTGAGGTCAAAAGCAATGCTGCCGCCTTCCAGCCCAACAGCAGGACGTGCCGTCCTCATCGGGCACAATGTTGCACGGGATCGGGAAGCCGTGCTGGCGAAAACAGTCCAGCCACTCGTGGACAAGGGCTGCCAGCCGACCTCACTTGTGCTACAATGTGAAGGAGATTATGACGGGGTGATACAATTGGCAAGCGACAGAACGGAGCAGATTGAGCTCTTGACATCCATCAACATATCGGACGACTTCTTGGAGAGCTTCTTTTGCTCGATGCTGAAGAGGTGTTCGCTATTAAGGAAACTCGGCATCCGCACGAAGGGTGCGATGATGTCTCTTGGCCAGCTCCGTGGATACGAAGCCGTACTGAAAGTCGTGGCAGCCCACTGCCAGCAACTCGAAGTCTTTGACACATGGTTGATGACCAGCTTCGATAGCCTCTCTAGTAGGCGTATCGCAGTTGCTGTCGAATACTATGACCGGAACCCTCCCGGGGCATCCTCTCCCGCTGTGCACTACGATACATTACGCGACTTCTTTGGATCGTGTCCCCTCCTGACCACAGTGCGCTTGGTCCCGCCTTCAGCAGGACAGGACCGGGTCGCTTTTTGGAGGTTTTGCTCCGATGCGGGCTTTCCGCAGAGCTCCTTGATCCTGGGCGACTCGCCGCCCCGAAACCTCCCCCGGCCAGCTGTCGAGGTTGAGCCTGAAGAGCTTCAGATCTTGCGGCAGGTGGACACGGCACTGGTCACCGAGCTGGCGATTCTGAAGGGTTGTCCGCTGACAACGGCTATGGCAGGCGAGATCCTGCGGTTCACACAGCTCCGAAGGCTTGGACTGCAACAGATGAACAACTGGCCTGTGCTTCGGGAGCTCCTCTTGGCCCTTGCAGAGCATTGTCCGGACGTAGAGGAACTATCTCTCAGCGACGTCACAGTTTCTGAAGGGGAAGTCTTTTTGGAGGCCTTGCAGCGGTTTAGACTCCGCAGCTTGAGCATCAGAAAGCTGGTGCCGGAGAGCGTGGAGCAAATGGTGGTGCAGGCGCTGCCAGGCTTGGTGCAGCTGAACCGCAGAACCCTGCAGAGTCTCGCATGCAGCGGAGACCTCGGCAGCTCTGTGCTGTGCTCACTGGCATCCAGGGCCCCACATCTTCGCAGCCTTATCGTTTCTACGAGTCTGGCCAAACAGAACGGAGAGGACAAAGAGGTTTGCAAAGACTTCGCTGGCAGCCAGGAAGAGCTCCTTCTCAAGCTCGTGGCCAGGCGCCCCAAGCTCGAGGAGCTTGAGATTGCTTGGGTGAGGCAGCCGGACAACAAGCTCAGTAAGGAACAGGAGAGGCGGACCCTCTCGCAGGTGCTCCACCATGCACCGAATCTGATGTATTTGGGCTCCACGGACATCAGCTTCTACACAGGCCTGCAGTACAACGACGGGCACGAGTTCAGTACTCCGCCGGCATCTGAGTCTGACGACAGTGACTAGCTACCACTACCACATATGCTGCCAATGAATGCGCAGAGACGGCGCTTTTATGGCGTGACGGTCAGTTTTCAGCTGTCAGGGCTGAGGCCTTTTCTCCTTCCGTCATCTGCAGAGAGATGAAGTTCCGCCTAGACTGTCTACATTTCATTTAGGCCATGAAAGCCTCGATATTTTCCTGATCGCGACCACACACACACAGAGACCCATTGCTTCAAGTTCACAAAGAAAGGTCCTTTGCTGCGTTGCTTAACTGAAGTTTGAAGTAGCAGAAGTAGCCGCCGCATTCGATGGAGACCCTCGAAGGCTTGCTTAACTTGCACAGGCGCGGGTAGGGAGCTATGCGCACGAGCAGTTGAAAGCAAACGTAGCCGCTTCCGACCCACTCTGCTGGACTCCGCAGGCAAAGGATGCTGGGCTTTTCGTGATCACAGCCACGCAGATGGCCACAGCCCAAGAATTCTCTAAGCTCCCGAAACCAGAGCGGGGAGAGAGCAGTGGTAGTAGCAGCAGTGGCGGCAGCAGCAGAAGTCGTACTAGCAGTCGTGGTCGTCGAAGTCGTCGTCGCAGTAGTAGTAGTAGTAGTCGTCGTCGTCGTCGTCCTCCTCGTTGTAGTGGTCGGAGTGGTCGTAGTAGTGGTAGTAGCAGGAGCAGGAGTAGGCGTATCAGTAGGAGTACTGTACAAGCAGTAGTCGAATGGTAGCAGTCGTCGGTGCAGCCGCAGTGGCAGCGGTGGCAGCAGCAGTTCGTTGCTAAAGTTGAATATGCATTTGATGGGTGTTCGTCATCACAGGTCGAGTCGATGATCGAAGCGCCGGTGCCAACAAGAGCCGAGGTTTCAGACTTGTGCTGGGGGCCCAAGTTCAGGGACTTAGAGTCTACGAGGCTTAGAGTATTCAGTCTCGACCAAGCGGCGACTGTTGAGCAAGATCTGCAGCGTTGAAGAACTTTCAGACAGGGCTTGTGGCGAAAATGGTCAACAGTGAACAAGCGGCACCGAAACATTTTCATGAATGGTATACATCCTGCTTGAGGAAGGGTGACACCCCACAGCTAATTTTCCAATCGTTCTTCCAAATTTAGTACGACAAGCGCCTTTGGGAACCACACCTTCCATTTCCTGACTGTGTCGGGGCGCGGATTGACGGGTCTAAACTCTAAACCATTCATCGGCCGAGGCAATGCCGTCTGGGACGGTACCGATGCGGTGATGCTTTCCGGAGAGGTCCGCGTTCGTGACGGATGGGAAGCTCGGTGCTACAGTTTAAAACTGTACGCCTGTTTCGAGTCTTCAGGGGCCTTCCTTCGTAGTATTTCCTGGAGGGGCCTTTCTGCTTCTTTCCAGCCTTCCGCGGAAAGCGATTTCAATCCCGGCAGGCAGCAAGCGGCAAATACCCCTTGGAAGCTGCCCCTCGACATTGAAGATGCATCTCTATATGATTCGATTTTTCATGATCTGCTTTGTTCTGTAGCCTCTGGGTTGCTTGGGACCCCTCGGCAACCCCTGAAGAGGACACGGACAAAGGCATTCCAAGCTCAGGGTTTGCTCCACATTCCGAGTGCATATGAGGTCATGGCAGAGGCATCCGCGGCCCGGGAAGCGGAATCCGTGGCTCAGTAGAGTGTGGCATTCGCGTCGGGACAGTGCCTTTCAGGAGTCAGAGTTAGGCTAGGCTTTTCATGTAAGCGACCAGCTGCCCAGGTGGAGCATCGAATTTTCCCGGCTCCCTGGCAAAATGGTCTTCCGTTTCGTTGTATCGGTTCTGGCATGACAGGGAAGTCGGATGCTTTAATCACATGAGCCTTTTTCTCTCGAGCCTGGGCTTCACAAGCCGTTAATCCTCCTCCATCAACGGCAGTCAGAGACTTAGCAGCAACTCTAAGGCCGCCCCGAATGTGATCTGAGATGATCTAAGCGATGGCGGTCATGACTCATGACCTGCCCTAAGGGCAGAGTCAGGCATGTTTTGGGCCGATAGAAGCCTTTAGGTCCGAGTCCGGAATACCAGTGCCGAAGGAGTCATCGGATCATACCATGACGGGGCTGGGGTGTTGCTATCTCACGCCACGTGGTCGCAATAGCGACCAGAGCGATACGCTGTGGCGACGTTGTTTTGAGTTCTTAGTAATCCCGCTTGATTATGCGGTGGGGGGCCTCTATTTCGGTCTTCGGAGCGAAACTTGTTTCGGAATTGAGGGTCGGCTGTAATGCAGCACCTGCTTGTAGCGGATAGAGGATAGCAGTAATTTTATTCAGATATCGCCCGGCACATAGTCGAACGCCAGAGCGTGCTTCAACAAGCAGGAGTTGAAAGACGACATGGTTGGACTCAGACTGAGCATAGTTTTTTCGTTTCACGAGATCACTGCGTGCGGATAGCCTGCACGCACTGAGCTTGGCCCGCCCCTGCCCAATGGCAGAGCAACGTAGAGCAGATTGCTCGCAGGTGGCAAAAGCAAGCCTACGTCATGAAAACGAGCACCAATCGCTGCCAGTGCAAGTTATAAGGCCAAGGATGTATAGATTTACCGTCCATCAGGAAAAGAAGTGTGTATACCATAGATAATAGATATACCTGTACAAGTGCCATTCACTCTATTCTTTGACTCGGTGGTATTTGGATTGCATCGATACACTCTTGAAAGTTATAGTGGTGTTTGGATTATATTTAAACACTCTTGAAGGTTAGTTCTAAAGGAGAGGTGGCTGGTTTACCTCGGAGCTTCGGCAGGGCGAGAGGGGAAACCAGGTGAGCAGACAGATGAACAAAAACGTGTGTGTCTGTGTGTGTGTGTGCGTATATATATATATATATGTATACACGTGCATATATATATATATATGTGTGTGTACATAACTGTTTACATATATGCAATTAATTATATATATATATGTGTGTGTATGTATATATGTATACTATACGTAATTATGTATGCATGTGCATGCATATGAGTGTGTATAAGTTTTTTCATACAGACATACATACATACATGCATGCATGCATACATGCATGCATGCATACCTACATACATGCATACCTACATACATGCATACATACATACATACAGAGCGTGCTTGTT